GGAGAACACGACGAGGAGGATCCTCGACGCCGAGGAGCCCAGACTAACGGCCGACTCGCGGAAGGGGAGGTGAAATAATGCCGGGCGCGAGAAGCCGTATTTGCATTAGCTATTCGTTTGACCCTAAAAACTGTCTGAATTGCGCCGATGGCTGCTCGTAAAGCCCGGCAATATCGCGGTGAATCGCGCTCTCGGGCGTGCTCGAAATCCGAAACTCGGAAGCCGACGCCGTGGCAAGCGGCGCTCGCGCGAAATTAATGTCACGAGCCAAAGGCTCCTCGCCTTCTTCGCGAATAGCTCGGAACTCGACGAAGAAACGTCAGGTTATTGCGGGCGAGAGAGCTTTACAGCTGCAGCGCGACGCGCTGATAACGCTTGAGCGATGTTCGTCGCGTGTTTATCCTAATCCTAATGAATAGGATAGGATAGAAAGAGAGAGGGAGGAAAAGAGAAATCTGCGTAGATAATAGTGCAATGTCGAGTCGAAATTTTAATCCCATTTTCGACCTGAATATTCCATTTAATTCCTATTTTGATACTCTGAAGCTTATATCGATCTCTTTTAATTCTATTTAATCTACTAGCTTTGCTGATAGAAATCTTCTTTAGAAGCTATCAATGGTATTTCGTGTATTTTCTGCTATTTAGATCCAGTTTCATAACTTATTTTAACTGGAGTTTAATCCGTGAAAGACCTCTCCAGGCAAACAATCGCATTATTCATATGCACAAGAAAATTGAGTTGATTTCCTTATGCACATGCAACATATGATCATGCGAGCTCGTCTGAATAAGCCTTTAACGAGTTAAGCTAAAGTAAGTCGTGTGGAATCAGACCTTGGAGACATTCGGTTTCAGAACTTCAGTTTCCATGTATGTTAAAAATACATTGATTCCTCAGAATATACAAGTGTTGAAAAAGTAGGGCTAAAATTTCGGCTCGGGCCGAAATGCCTAAAGAGCAATCCGTGAGACGCTACGTGCGACATCCGTTCAACTATCGATCCACGACGGGGTCTTCGATAAGTTGGAAGAACATTCAGTCATATAATCGAACGTGCATGCGTCGAAATGTTAAAGACCGGCGCAGGGGGAGGAGGAGACGTAGGAATAAATAAATCATGAAACGGCGACGAGGACGATTCGTACGACCGTTCCTGAATTAATCAGGAAAAAGGCGACTCACCACCGTCACGTACTGCTAGTGGCTACGACGGTGATCGCGAATGTCGCAGGACGTCGATCCTTCCGTCGATCGCGTGTCCTAAGCCGCCGACGGTTACAACCATGACGAATATAACTCTCAGCGCACAATGTATCGGACTTTACGAGTGTGCCCACCTAGAAAAAGAAGGAACACGAGGTGATGGGATGGCCACAGTGAGACGGAGGGAACGCGGGAAGGGCGGGAACGGCGATGGGGAGTACTCAGATTTTATTACGTTATTTTGTTAATGCAGTGAGAGCGAGGTGAAGGAAAGAGTGAAAGAGGGAGGTGGTCCACGCGCCTCGAATGTCCGGCCACGAAAAAATATTATGTCCCTCGGTCAGAAAACGGGCCATGAAATCTTTTTATGCTCTCCGACGCCCAACCCTGTCCGCAGAATTTCACCTATGCGCCTCCTTCACCGACCGCGGTTCGCGTCGAGTCGCTCTTAAACGACGCGAAGCGCGCGAAGCGAATTAGCGGTTTATATGAGAAAATTAAATTTCTTATTACGATATATTATGCGAAATTAAACAAAGAGAGAAGGCACAGCTCGCGAAAAACTCAAAGCTGAAATATGACAATCCTTAAATCTTCACACAATCTTCTACACTGAGAGAAAAAATATTTGTTCGGCAAATACTAGTAACGTATTTACTAATATACATAATTGTACATCGAAAAAAAATATTTTTAAAAATAAGGAAATATACACACACTGAAAGAAAATACTTGAAAAATTATTTGTGAGATATAAAGTTTACTTTTGTGAAATAGAGCTTATTTTTGTGTGAATAAACTTTACATTCCACAAAAATAAATTTTCAAGTATTTTTTCCTCAGAGTGCACATTTTCTTAAAATCTTAGCTTTCCATGAAAGCACAACTGCTTATTTTATTTAAATAGAAAAATTTAGATTCAAGTAAAAATGTGTTATTATAGTACTCTTCGAATAAAAATATTTTATTTCTTAGATATCTTAGATGTCTCGGTCGACGAATTGTACAATATTGCGCGTAATTATGTTCGAGATTGAAATGCGACATAGAGATTCTCTCCGGTCGGACGCGAATGCTTCAAGTTCCTTGTCACGTAATTTTGTTTCCGAATATTTCCGGAGACTGTTCGAGTTAGAACGATCCCGTCGCGGAACGTTTCTTTCTTTTAAAAGCGATGGCGGCGGCGGACCCCGCATGGTTAATAAAGAAGCGCAGACCGCCGACAATAAGATACTGATAAGCGGAAAACATGTTAGGAAGTACGACATAAATAGGGGCCGCCGCCGGCGAAAGAAGTCGTAAGCAGTTGCCGCACGTACGCAATTTTGCCCGCGACGACGCTTTTTCGCGGAGCTTTGCTCGCGAATATCGTCGCGAATGCATCCGCACGCAAAAAACTTCTCGAAAACGCACGATAACGTAACCCGACAGAAATGCGGTGAAATTAAACGCTCGATTTTGCGGAGGCTACATCAGCAAAACGCGCGTAAGTCCCGAGAACACCGTCATCGCGTGCGGAGCTCCCGCAATCAAGAACGTCGGCGAGTGCTTCAACTCGACGTTGAAGATCGGTTTTAGGTACGCTCTCGTCGTCCTAAGGGCTGCCACGCGTTCCTCCGCGCGAGAACGCGGGGGCCGACGTGTCTGTCAATAAATACGCCCGGAGGTATTTTAACAGCTGTAATAATTTTCGTCGCGCTATAAATCAACGCGACGCGGTGCTGGCACGATGTGCAAAAGGCGCACCCTTCGGAGACCTTTCGCGCGCGCATAGATTCGCCGGCACAAAAGTGTCGGACGAGCCGTGAACTTATCCTTTCTTCCTCCCTTCCTCACGCGTTTCTTTAATAAAATTCGGCTCATCGGATCGTTCCTGACAATCTCAAAGTCGCGACGTACGTGTGCAAAAATATGTCGGATGAGAATATCCCTATCCCTATGAGGGTATCGGCACAACTAGTCGATCGTTAATCGCGAAACGCGCGCATACACCTCATACAGAGACATCTTGAAAGTAAAGACACCATAGTTTGTTTAGTCATTTATATTTTCTTTATCAAATTGATAACAATCATAATGTCTACTCGCTTTTGAGACGTCTCTGTGAATACTACAGTGTGCAATGTATAATAATCCTAGAGTAGGAGATGCGAATCTCGTTCGTTCTCACGAACTATGGGGGACTCTAGCGGCTTGTCTAGCATTCCTGAAGGTATACGTGTCGTATCGATTCTGGCACGGTGAACGTGTATAACAATCGCGGTAGTCTCGGTGAATTCCTTGCATGAGTCACGGGAAGTACCAGTACGTCTCCTACTCCACTTAGGGCGCAGATAATAATCACGTGACGCGCACTATAAACCTGCGAAGGTACTCCGTCTCATGTTTCTTTACTTTTAATGGAACTAGGCATTTCTGTGTATGCTGTGACACACATCGAATGAATGTTTCCGACCGGTCAGACTACTCATCATTCTTAAATTCATAATAAAATATGCACGCACGCACACACGCGAGGGTGAAGACAATAATTCTCTTCAATCTTTAAGGCGCGTAATTCTTCTGTCTGTGTCGCGGATCGATACATTTTGTGAAAAAAAAGTCAAACGTGTAATTGCGATTACGTAACTTCGGATATTGTAATTTCGAGTAATCCGCGCGAAGCTGAATTGACGACGAATTAAAGATCCTCAGAACGAAATCAATCCGACGCGGCGATCGTGGAGTCCGGACGACACAACGCGCTATTAAATTTATATGAATCCGCCAGTCGATGCGATTCGCCGCGCCCGTCGAAACGTGACGGCGAATCCGTCACGAAGCACCATCGCCCTCCACGCGCGCGGCTCACGTGTAGCGCGAAAGAAGGCATAACGACAAAATGTCAAATTAGAGAGGAGCGTCTACGTCGCGGCGGCTAATGGTTTTCCGACGAGCGCGAAATAAAACGTCGCGCGAGATAATTCGACAGCCGTGAAAGCACGTGGCCGCATCGTTAAGAAACACGTCATGTTATACCTGCGACGAGCGAGAGAAAGAGAAAGAGAACCGGCAAAAGCGGTTTACATGTTTGCCCTCCCATTTACATGTCGCGGTAATAGGCTCGATGTGCAAGGACATCGTGCGCACGGGAAAAGACGATACATCATAATTCCGGGCTGAAGATCGAATCAATCACTCACCCTTGCGCGTGTGCGTGTGTCTGTGATCATGTGTGCGTGTATAAAGTTGCACCCACTCATGCGCGAGCGAATGTAGGAAGACACCGATGATCCGCTAATAATTTTTCACGAGGCCGGATTATACCGTTGCTATTATCGCGCATAATAAAGCGCCTCAATGCGAATCCGCACGAATACAATCGATCGCGAGATCGCACTGTGGATAGCTGCGATAAATTTCCGCGCAGAATGTGAACGCGCGGAATTCGTTCCCTTGTAAATAACGTCGGTGAGCCGATAAAGCATAACGAGGCATACCCTAATCGGCTCCCTTCTCGATTTTTCAATCCCCGTTTTACGTTTCACGACGTATTTTCCACTCGGGATGGCGGAAAAAGAAAAAAAAATACAAAGCGAGCTCGAATTCGCCTCGCCGGAAGTCTCGCACAAAGTGAGTCACGTGCGCAAAAAGGTTCGTTCTTTCTCTCTATACGTATAGCCACATACAAAACATATCACACGTAAAACTAAACACAACGATAGATGTTAAAATCTTTAACGACCACTCGCACGCATATACATGTAAGAAAAATTTTATTTTCAAAATATGATTGTACGATGGCTACAAGTGGTTTCTTTCTTCTCGTTTTATTTAACACATATCACGTATAAAAAAAATATGAGGTAATAAAATAAAGTTCACCATGCATTCTCCACAGTATTAAAAACACCACTCTGGATCTCACATCTCTGATTCGATGTTAATGGCCCAACTTCAATATCTTTCCACATAGTGTGTCTGGATTAAATACAAAAAGATTATTGTGTGGCGCACCTTTTTGCGATACCGCCTTGATTATTTCCTGAGCCATAACACCACCGACGATTGCGCAGACTGGACTGATTTGCGCGTACAAGTCACTTCTGTAATTGTAAAAATGTACCACACATTATAGTATATAATAGTATATTATAGTACATTATAGTACATTATAGTCACATGTAAACTTTTAAAATTAGTCAATATTTGCATTACAAATATATCATGTATACTTACTCTATTAAATTATCTATAGAGTTGCCAAGTTCATATTTCTCAATAATTGCAGAAGCTGCATTTTTCAAATTTTCAGTACTTCTCTCATTAGGTTGTGGATCATCGCCATATTTCTCGCGATAACTCAACATTGCTATATAAAAAAAAAGATTGAGATTATAATAATTATTATTTAGAATATAAGACTAAATTATTATCCAAAATATCAGTGAGACCTACTTAGCATCATATAATAAATCTCCGATTCTTTAGGTAAAGATGACTTTGGCACATATAATATATGTTCAAAGGGCACAAAAGTATCGGTGTGTTTTTCTGTAACTATTATATTTTCAAACGCCACAGGCTCACCACTTTCTGGTATTTGCACTTTTCTCTTTTGCACAACATCTCTGAAAAGTTATACTTTACTTACAAGGAAGATTAACACTGTTAAGACATACTTACCAAAAGGTTAACACACTTACTCTGCATATTCATGTTCTAGTAGATCTGCAAATGTGTATCCAACTGATCCCCATACATCTCCAGCAAAGAATTTGACTTTCTGTTCTCTGCAGGCTCGATTGATCCTCTTCAGTTGCGTTATGGTACAGTGTGTTGCACATACTACATCAAATTGTCCAAAATATTCATCAGGCTTGTCGTCAATGTTGGTTGTATCTGCATTAACAATGACCATAGGATTCAAGCTTTGCGCTCTTGGTAACGATGCTTGAGCTTTCTAGAATAAAAGAATTGTTTCAATGCACAATATGTAACAGAGAATGATGTAAATTTATATTTACATTTTTTCCAATGTCTTCTTTAGGTACAAAGAATTGTGAACATCTATCTAAATCTGTCACATCTCTATGGTCTAGGAATGTAATAACATTGACTCCAGCTAAGATAATATTCTTAGCAACCTCTGCCCCAAAGCCATCCAGACCAATCAGAAGAATTTTGGCTGCACGTAATCTACAACAGAGTAATGCACAATGTTCAGAGATATTTGAAGAAAGAATAATAATGTTGAGGTGTCACAGACACATACAAAACTAGATTTTTGCTCTAACTTCTTTCACTTAACTATCGCATAATCTCTACAAATGATAAGTTATCAAGATAAATTACATCTACTTAAAATACGCTTTTTCTAGCCATATATTGCATGTGGAATTTGTAATGATTTGTGATGATTGCGACAAAAACCGGCATGACCCTTTTAGGTTAGGTTAATGTAAATTTACCGTTTCTGCGATTCTAAGCCCCACAGACGAATCTGTCTGTCATACAATTCAGCTTCTGCGTCTGTCAACTCTTCATTGTTCCGCTTATCTTCCACCATTGTAAAAATTTCTTGTTTATCAGCAATTTAATACCGCTAATAACGCAACACAATACTTGACGAGCGTTTCGTACTTCGCGTGCTGACTAATACCAACGTAAGGATCCTGTTATTGAGTGTGATGACAAACAAATCAATTGACACCATTCAAAAATGCGATACATGTTTTGACGCCCGTTAAATAAAATACACCATAAATGAATAGGACATGCTCTTCTAATTGTCGCAAATATGATCGGCAAATTCAGGAGATAAACTAGAATGCTAAGTTGGAAACACTGTGCGTTGTGAATGTGTGAGTGTGAGTGTGAGTGTGGGTGGGTGAGTGGGTGGATGTGTGTGTACTACGTGCTGTTGTCAGTGCTACAGAGAGAGGCGTCAATTTCCGACTAACACGTAGATCGCGCATTGTTTTTCCGAATCGATGAGCAGAAAAACGCGACAAGTGAGCGTGTCCGCTTCAAGTTGAAATAAAACTTATTGAATTTAGCTGCTTTATCAATTAGAATACATAAGGTTGCCGCGTATGTGAGAAAGAGGTTATGTCTCTCAGCTATGACTGGAAGCTTAATAATATATAATCGTGATATATGGTGATTGGCTGATACACATCAAATGCAACAATAAATGTAAGTGCTGCGCTCATTTACGCTAATAGCGAGAACGAGATTGTGTTTTATATTCGATATTTTAATAATTAATACCTGCGGCACTAAGTGTATCTACAGACAGGTCGTGAACAGTCGGCAAAATGGCCGCTACGAGTCGCCACCGTCTGGAGCCTCGCTTCGTGCTACAGTAGTGCGACTCAAACAGCGAGTCAGACGAACCTTTGATTTGACAAATTTTTTTTGCGCCTCAGCCGTAGGTTAGATCTTTTTATATTTTTTAGTGATACAAAACGGACTCCATGTTCTTTTAGTTTCAAATAGTACAATTTACTGACGGAACAGAAATCTGTTTTATTTTCAAGTTTCACGCCAAGGACTACGGATTAGGCGAATTTTTTTGTTTAACTTGATGATTCGGCTCGCGTTAATATCGACCGTGAGTCGATAAATCAGGAAAACAAAATATCCTAAATATCACTCCGGGAAAATTTCGTATAGTTTTATTGCTGTAACTATCCTAAAATCTCGAATTCGGTGTCGAGAAAATAGATCTGAATTAAGATTTTAATAAAACTGGATAATTTAGTGATTTTTTATCCAATTGCGCGAATCTAATGCCTCTCTTTAATCGGCACTTTATAAATCTTTTTGACGCGAATAAATAAATGTATATTTTATACCGGCATTTATTTAATTCAAATAGTATCGGTAGATTTTTTTTTCATGTTAAACACGCGTTCTCAAATTTGTAGCCAATTAAAATTTATGATTAACGGTCGCGTTATCGTTGAAATAAATATAGACAACACATATAATCACATCATTACTATGCTATTATCGTTGCTCTCTTGACCCGAATGTTGTGAAAGCTGACCTTGGCGGGATAAGTGTCTAATCTGTAAGCAAACTGCATTAACCTTTGAGAATCTCATAACGACCGCGTACATGACGATAAGAGTTAATTACGTTGAATTTATTACTTTAATCAGTTATTAACTGTCTCATATATAATTACTTTAACGTGTTACTTAGAATGTATCATCTCGCGTTCGCACATTTTAATTTTTCGCACGTTCAAAATTCACGTTAACATTTCGTTACGTCGCACTTTGCAAAACTGATATTACGCTTAAGAGAATATAATTTTTATTTCGTCGACATTATTTTTTTTCATCGTTTCTCCTTCATTTATCGAAATGAAGCTTATGCTGTCACACACACAACGAGAATTTCGAATATACTAAATAAATATTGTTAAAGATGATGAATAAAGCGGAGGAAGAGTACATTGAGAAGACGTTCGTCTACAAATTTCCAACATGCACCACGAATCAGGAGTACACGTTGGAAGTGCCGATAAAAATACCGTACCATGGCTCTATAAAAGAGCTGATGCACCGTATAATGTCGTCGTTCAAGCTACCCTGTTACGTCGAGACGGACTTATTAGAATCTCTGCAGCGTAATATCAAAGAGCTTACGCTGCAGTTTCACGACGAGAAGGCGGAAAAGCTCATCGACGCTGCCAAAGCGGGCACGCTGGATTTAGAGGACATAATTAAAAGCTGGGAGAAAATATACAAACAGAAGACGGTCGAATATTCGGATCCCATCGGGACCACCGACGAGGAATTATTCGCCGCGGCGTATCATAGACTGGTGCACTCACCATCCTTGGAACCGATTCTGCAAGCGGAGCACAAATTCGGACGGGATGTTACCGAAGTAATTCAGATGAGGGACACCGACTATGAGCATCTCACGCAAAAGTCAGTACGATCCCATTACTTTCTTTCTTATCCCCAGGATATCTGTGAAAATAGACGAGCAAATTATTCCACATTTTAACTTTAACTTAAATTTAAATGTAAGCTTGAATTATTATTGGAGAACTTTAGATATACAAACGAATGGTTAATGATAGCCTGATAGCCGTTTAATGTTTCAATAATCAAGAAATGAAGAAGTCTTTCACATGGAGAGATGGAAAAGAATCATATTATGTAAATTCCAGACAAACAGATGAGATGCGCATCGCCGTGGAAGCTCTGGAGGCAGGATCCACAGAGAAGTCAATAAATGACATGGCAGGCCGTCATTTCGAAGAGCAGAGTTTATTGCAGGGTTACTGGGGATCCAGGATCGACGCTTTGAAGTTGGACCAACGGCGACAGTATCGAAATTGGATCATGAGACTGTTGGAGGAGCAACAAACCAGCATGATACCCACCCCGGTGTAGGTTCCCACTATTCTTGCATAACTTGATCGCGAGTGAGATTTTCACGAGTTTCTAAAAATTTTCCCTCACATTCTCGCACGACAGAGGTTCGCCCATGGCGCCGATGCCGCCGTTGCGACCCGCTTTGGACAAATTCGTTCATAGCGAGGAGAAACACACGACCGATTACCCGCTGTTAGAAGAAAGCTTCACCATACACTTAGGCTCTCAGATGAAACAGATGCACAACATACGCATACTGACCGGCGACGTGCTCGACTTTTGTCGCACGAAGAACAGCGAGTCAGGGTACGTCTGTAATGATATCGACTTGATACTCAAACTGATCGAATTCGATAGGTTTGCAATCAAAATATATTAAATCTAGGATGGATCCAACGCCACAAAGACTGCAAACGGCTCTAGGATTATACTCGAACGATCTGTGCGGATTAGTTCTCTTGAGCGACAATCACCTGGGCAGTTATTCGGGTATTACAAAAGGTGCTTTTCGAAATATATTACATTAATCAAACAGGTCTCTCATTTATCTTACATCGAGGAAAAATATTTGAAAATTTATTTGTGGAATATAAAGTTTATTCACAGAAAAATGAACTTTATATCTTACAAATAAAGAGACCAAACTCCCATCAGCTTTTAGCTCCATTTTGACGAACGTATCGTTACAGAATTATGTTCAATCTCGCAACTGACGACGGAATTCCATTTCCCGCCGATCGACGAACAGTTAGAGAAGATTCGGGAGGATGTGAAGGACGCCGTCGCCTGGAGGCAGGCGCATCATAGAGAAGGAAGCGAGCCTCACGTATGTCGTACAATTGTATCAATAATTAGAATTTAGAATTCATCTCGAGCTTATGTGGCGATCATCTCGCGCAAAAATCGCACGCGTTGTTTGCAGACGAAGAAATCCACGACGAGCAAGAGCCTGCAAACGGGCGACGTTTTCATCACGAGGCATTCCAATCTGGCGCAAGTCCACGTGGTGTTCCACATGGTAGTGAACGATTCTCTAAGATCCGGTAAGTGATCGGCGCCAGACTTGATCGGTCTCGCGTAAAGCCTCGAGTGAAGCGATCGAGCGCGATATTAATTCCCCAGGCGATATCAATTCGAGGCATCCCGCTATTTTGGGACTGAGAAACATACTGAAGACGGCGTGTTGCAACGACGTGACCACGCTGACAATACCCGTGCTACTCGTCCACGAAATGTCAGAGGTAATCTACTGTTTAGATAAAAAATTCAGGGCCCGACGAAAATATAATTAATCTATGTTGACGCGTTATACATACGCAAACGTGCACGTGCACACTCGCATACACAATGAAGGACATGACGGTCGCCTGGTGCACGAAAAGAGCCGAGCTGGTGTTCAAGTGCGTGAAGGGATTCATGATCGAGATGGCATCCTGGGGTGGCGCCGAGCTGAAGAATCTGCAATTTCTCGTGCCGAAAGTGAGTTTGCAATAAGTTTAACCCATCGGTACACAGACAGATGATGAGGAAACAGAACGCAAAGAAATAATTGGCGATGCGCCGTCGCTTATCGTTTGCAGGGAATGTCGGAGGAGGTATTCGGCACGCTGGCCACAATGTTGCCGAGCATATTCCGCGTGTCGAATCCGTTGGTTTTCAAGGCCACCAGCACACCGCAGACCCCGAAGAAGTGAACGATCGTGTCTCGCTTTCTCTCTGTCGTTCTCCTCTCTCCTTTACACGCGTTATCGTCGAGTGTACGTTCGAAATAATACTACGGTATTTATTACTATATATCTCGCGTACATGCAGCCAGCGATTATCCGTTGGCGGGCGTGAACAAGATACGATTCTGTGAATAAATGTCTGGCTTTTAATGAGCCTTTTGTTTATATTGCTTTTACACACGGAGTGATTTCCCGCCGAGAGTACCGGTGGCCGATAGTAGGGCAAACACTTTTCTTTCGTCGCGCCTACGACGAGATAATCGCTCGCCTCGTTTTGCCACATCGTCCAGTGTTGTTAATAAAATATTTCGACACCTAATCTCCTCTCCTGTCTCGCGTTAATTTCCCGCATTATCGAGAGAATTGTTGCCAAAGCTTTCTCTTGTTATTCGCGGAATTTGCGCAAACGTATATTTTCTTGCACAATCTCCTCCTCTTAAAGAAACAGAGAGAAGTAGCTAAGTTCCGCTAGATCGTGAAATTAGAGCAGCAGATAACGAGCGATGATGTCGAGACAATTCGCAATATGTTAGTTTCCGTTGACGACAGCGAATGCGAGTGGTATGCGTATTATCGCCGTTAGACACGCTGCAGCACGGAAAGCGAGATTTATCACTCTCATAGTATTTTTATTCTGGGACCATGTCGCGAAGCAGATATAACGTTGACATTTCGGGCGCGACACATAACGCGACGATGCAGATGCGGACCGTAGCGTGGTGGTGTTCCTCCATCTAACGACCCAGGAATTTCGCAAACGCGAAGATCCCGCTACGATCCGGCGCTTTAATTTAATTGAAAGACATACGCGCGGCCGATTAATTGCCGCGGCGAGGACAATCGCCGGGGCGAGAATAATTGGTGAATTCAACGTGCGCGGTGGCGATCGGGCTCGTGTAATCTGCCCGGTTTTATCTGCACGTGGTGCGTTAGCCTCGGCGATTTTGAACTTCTGACCGGGAGCGGATTAAGTTAATGCGCGACCCGCGACATCGGCCAAATCGTTTTATAGAAAAATATTTGCCGGCCGCGCGTAATTACAATACGCGGATTCCACACAATAGATACATCACAATATGTCGATGGCCTCTTCGCGTGCGGCATTATCGAGTCGCGTCCTGAATAAAAATGGCCCGTCGAACTGCCCGCTCGCTATTAACCAAATCGCTCGTCGACTGTCCGTCGTCCCGATAACGCGCGACGCGAGTCAATTAAAAACTTGCACAAAGAACGCGCAATACGCGAGGGTAACGCTCGATCAGCGGTTCTAACGGCCAAGATACGACGTGATAAGACTCGCTGCTTACCGATCGCGATTAGATCGCGAGAAGGTGCGGGGGAAAATTCGCGATTTTCCCATTGATCGCGGGAATCGGCCAGCGCGGAGTGCAGCCGCAATGTGATGCAGCTGGTACTCATGCCCCCCTCTTAATTCGGCACTGCACAATCTTCGGAAGCGGAGTGTCGCGGATGAATTCGTTGCCATTCCGTCGGATCGTTAGGAGGAGTAAGTCCACGCTAGGTGGTCCCGGTGGTGCGTGCGTGCGGTCGGTGGTGTCGATCGGGTGTATCGAGATCGGATCACTCCGAAGAATCGGCTAGTTAGATAATTCACCACCTGGCACGATGTGGCTCGGATTGCTCGCGTGCTTGTTCACCGTCGTCTCGTTCATCACGGCGAAGACGGTGGGTTTTGTTTCATGTTCCGCGGTGAGATACCCGTTTTTTCTTTTCGATCAAGAACCGTTCAAGTTCACAACGTCGTCGTCGTGGACGACAGTCGATTTTGCGAGACACTCGCTGACACTATCTGCTTGTAATCGGCGAATATCAACTTCCTGGCGCGCTTATCGTCTTCTTAAATTCCGTCGCCTTCTTGCGGAAGTAATCACGAGCGCGACTCAAACATATTGTTGGAGTACATCTCCGAAGCTGTGCCTCAGATTTGTATTCGCCGAATGTGCCTCGTTATTTTTGTCGAACATTTGTGAAAAATGCATGAGGTGTCGTGGTTAATTAATACTAAAATTACTCAGCCCGATATTACATATGAACTAGACGTACACGTGTCAAAGTAATAATTAGAAATCGGTTCATTCGTAAATCAGCGAGAGAATGTCAGAAAGAGTTTGCGTTGCAGGTCGACCTGTCGTTTCGCGGGTTAAAGAAGGAAGATTTCTTCATAAAAATCCAGCAGCAGATTACACTGACGGAAATAACAGATCTTAATTTGAGTGGGAATCAATTTGACAGCTTCCTCGACTGCTCCACCAATTTGGAGATGTTAAGAACGCTAGACTTGTCGCAGAATCACCTCCAGCGATTCTTTTTCCTCTGCAAAGACGAGTATAATCTGCAAATGTTGAACGTGAGCCACAATATGTTGGAGTACATCGACGATAATTCTCTCAACGATCGAGTAACGAAGCTGAAGATATTGGATCTCTCTTACAATAGGCTCACCATCGTCAACGAAACCATGCTGGAACACCTAACGGTAATGACCGGTAATTTTTGATCGGAAAAAGTATCGACTTTCAATCTCGTTCAGATTTTCAAGATGATTATTTAAAGTGCCTCGATCTTTTGAATTCTAATCCTCAGTTAACATCAATAAGAAGAATCTACACGGAAAAAATGGTTTAGTTGAATTAATCAGAGTGTGCGAAAAAGTGTCTATATGTCGCTCAATTTTTTCGATCAAAAATTATGAATCCATTTTAGACTTGAATTAAAGTTTTTAACGTGTCGAATATGTAAACGGCTAGCTGAACGGAACTACTGTTTCAGAGAAAATAGTCCAATTAAAATTTCATCCTCACTAGAATTTTTGTCCAGAAATAATTAGGCGGAATTTATTCTTTCTAATGAAATATTTCTAATGAAATATGTACGAAAAGTTCCAGTTGAAAGATTCCAAAAGAACATCAGAATTCTTTTTAAGTTGACAAGATTTTCATCGAAATTTTCTGGTTTATATTTTACCAGAAATTTGGTTCATCCAACCAAACGTTTTTTCCGTGTAATATACCTTTTAAGAATTGAGAGATTCACCGGCGAAATTAATTTCAATTTTTGCAACTGCAGATAAAATGCGAATTTGCCTGACGCAAACAACTGAAAAATTGCTTTCAGATGCTCGAATGTCTATCCCTGTCTCACAATCCTATAGGAGACGGTATACACAACGGCGCGTTCTGGAACCTGAAGGCGCTCAAGCACCTCGATATGCGGAACATATCCGCGCCGTTCTTCTCCGGCGACTTCTTCAAGACCTTGACGAACTTGTCGAACTTGGATATATCGTGGAACCCGATTAGCACGATACCGCTGCTGCCGGTGAAGTTGCAGCAGTTGGATTTATCCGGCACGCAAGTGATAAGTCTCGAGAACTTGTACCTACCGCAGCTACAAGAACTTAAGATGGAACATATGCCGAACCTGACGTCGTTGGCCCTGAACGACCTCGAGAATCTCACTAGTCTGGAGTCGTTATCGATGGTCGGTTGCAGACGGTTGATACAGTTGAGACTTTGGCCCCAGAACGGAGTCATGCTGCCGCGATTGCAACGCCTCTCGATAAAAGAGAGCGGCCTCACGACGCTCGGTGTCGAGCTGAGCGCGTTGATACAACGCGTACCAGTCGTCGAGGTGGTAAACAACCCGTGGAAATGCGACTGCAAAATGGAATGGATCGACATGCTGAACTCCACGAGGAATCTGAGCCGAGACATCAGGTGAGAAACGATGACTCTGACGACAGAGTCGGTATAAATATCGATTGAGGATACAGTAGACTTGGGCGACATCGCCGTTGTCGCTCATCGTAATCAGCTATTTATAATTTAATTATCAATGCGGACACATCCGTTTTGAAGAGCGCGTGTTGTACAAAGACACTTGACGAGAACAACATCGATCGGATGTTTTGTCGAAAAGCGCGTGTTGTACAAAGATACTTGACCAGAATAACATCGATCGGATATTTTGTCGCGCGTCGAGATTCACCTCTAGATCCATAGAGGTCTCGAGAATTCCGTGAATCATCCGAGTTCTCTCGTACCAAGTTGGAATTGCAAATCTATTGGCTTGCCTTTCAGGGGACGGAGAAATATGCGAGTATGGGAATAATATCGAAAATAATGCATCAGACGTCGTAGCTCGCCTCAGCATTATCAGCAGAGTTACTCGCGCGATTTTCAACCTTCGACCTGAGGTCGGAAATCGCGGAAAATCTTGGCGAATAAATATCAAGGCGCGTATGACGTCTGGTGTATAGATGTTTGACCTAGTATTCACATGTCGACAGATGCCACACGCCAGACCGACTCTACAACAAGCTCCTCGCCGAGATACCGAGCTACGAGCTACAATGCGAACACGACACGCCGATCTTCTATCCGATCCTGTGGACAAGCGTCTCGATATTGATTGTCGCCCTGATCCTCGCCGCGGTGTTCATGCTACTCCGGCGACCAATGGGCCAATGGAGCTTCAGGGGCAGGGATCGTGACACCGTCACGTACACCTCCGTTGTGGAGTCGAACAACGATCTGGTGCGAATACTCGCGGTGACCGAGAGCCAAGATCACAAGGAAGCCGATCACGAGTGAAGCCGACGGAGCCGAGCTACGAAAGAGAAAGAAGTCACGCAAAGTACAACGAGGAGATCACGGAAGATCGTGGAGCCAATAAGTAGAGAATGCTCCAACGAGCCCTGCGTCACCAAGTTCTTTGTAAAAGTTACTCTATGATAGTATAACGTAACGTAGTATAATTGACGATTTACAGGTATTTCAGGGGAAATTGTTTCTATCCCGTTAAATTCGCGATTTCATCGTTACTGATAGTACGATTTTCGCAAAACGTGACAATCAAAAAAGATGTTTCCATGTGTGTGTATATGTATGTGTGTGTGCATGTAACGCGACATCAATTCGCCGTTTCTTCCCCACGATATTAAGATCCGACGATCCTAACTCTTGCAACAACGAGATTAAGGTAAAAATTCCCGGACACGTGTCTAATCTTGGACGTTCTTATTGTTTTCTTTTAAACATGAATGTTTAAACATTCAGCATAAATAAGGTAACAGTTCCAATTGTGGATCAAGTCCCAATTTCGGCTTACAAACTTGATTTATTAATATTAAAAATTTATTAATATTAAAAAAGTACGCGTTATAATGGAAACAGTATAAAACAGGGAAAGTATTTTTCACATTCTTTAGTTCTTTATTGACCTTTTGCATGTAAATGTGTTTCTGATTATTTTTTTAATAATTTAAAGTAAACCAATTTGAAGTCTAATAATTTTGTTTTGAAACTGTAATGTATTAATTGCTTGATATCTCAATAGTTTATTTTTATGTTGATTGACAAATTTATGTAAATAACTGAAAGTTATCGTAACCTTAAATGACTCTTAACTAAAATCTTTATCTTATATGTATATATGTTAAAAGTTTGAATATTCGTATTTAAAGACCAAAGCAATAAGAATTCCCAAGATTGTGTCCGAGTATTGGGGTACTTTTATCTTGACATTTCGCACAAAGTCGCGGCACTTAATCCAAAGTCAGCCGATAGACAGTAAGTCGTTGCGCATCCAAACAAATAGATATATATGTATCTCAAAGTAAACCACGAACACACCGAGGGAAAGTCACTCATACCACGCCTCGTGAACCTCGAATGGCCGAGGAGAGTGCGGGGCAGATACTCGAGTACTTGAACGGTTCCCAGTGTCCGATAACAATGTGGGACCGGGTTGTGGCGGTCGAATAAAACATCCGTGTTTCTTTTTTCCCGGCGGTAAGAATCGGCGTGTTTTAAAAACCCCTTTACCTTTGTTCCTCGGGCGCAGCTTCAACATACGTTGAAGCCGCAACGGCACAAAAGCGAAGTAGATACAAAGACCGCAATGGCTCATTTGCCCTGAATGACGGCGAGATCCTCTTCCGCGTAACGACGCGGCAACTCGTAGCTGAACGCATGAATTATCGTGCGTAGCATCTTGAGAACGCACTAATTGAAATTCCACGTGATTCCGCCGCAACGGGTTCGGCCTGCGGCAGCTCTCGCCGACGGCTGATAAAAAGAGAGTCCTCCGCGGGCTCTTTAGAATCGAAGTCAACCCCGCAACGCAATCCCGTTTCCGATATTCCCTCTTTTCGTGGCGAATAAAAGATGTCGTCTCTCTCTCTCTCTTTCTCTCTTTTTCCCTTCGAACACTGTCCGTTCGCCTTGAAGAGCGAATTATCGATGACCGAGTTTAACGAGAGATGCTCCGGCAAGAAACGTAAAGGAAGGGTTACGCCTGACAAGTCTAGTGGACGATCTATATGTTGCGCTTGAACGTTAACATCATTGAGGGCAGCATCTATATGTAAGAGGTTTCAGGGTGTGATCTTGGTTTGCCTGCTCGCGCGTTGATCTCATCGACTTGGACGTCGGGAATGAACACGTGAGATCGTGGTCCAGGCGGGTGCGCGCTCGCGTTACCGATCGTTTATGAAACGTTAAGGCGCGGGGCGTTTTAAGCGTCTCGTTCCGAGAAGGGGCGCAATATTGGCGTGTTATACGATGAGCCAGCAAATGGTACTATGAAGATCGTCAGTTTACGTGACGTGCACCGTGATCGCGTGCGATGTAGCGATCAGCCTTTGTATCGAAGTATGATCTTCCTATGGGAGGCCTATTGGGTTACGGCCGAGGAGAGGAGAGCCCCCATGGGCAAAAGGATGTCGTATTACCGCGGAGTCACAACGTGCAAAGAGAGGAGCGCGAGAGAGCGAGAGCGAGACAGAAAGAGAGAAAGAAAGAAAGAGAGAGAGAGAGAGAGAGAGAGAGAGAGAGAAAGAGAGAGAGAGAGAGCAGGGAGGAAAGAATGAAAGAAAAAAGAAAAAGGTGGAGCGAAAGAATCAGCCAGGGGAAGATGCGCCGCGCCGTGTCGAACGGAAGCTCGTGATTACAATAACTCTCCATGTTGGGGTACGCCCGACACAAATGTGTGCAGTACCTCCACCTCTTTCTCCTCTTTAACTCTACACCAAGACACGCCTTTCTTCTTTCGTGTACACCGAGAATGACACGTTGAGAGATGTGATGAAACCTCGTGTGTCGTTTTGTCTCTCTCTCTCTCTCTCTCTCTCTTTCTCTCTCTCTTTTTCTGCCAATCTACTTGCGATTGCTTTTTGTACAATTTTGTTTGTACCGCTCATTGTTTTCACACAAAAGGATTTGCACGAAAACGGCGAAACGAGAATCCGGCTGTTTCGCCGTAATACCTTCCTCATGATTCTTTAAAGAGCAAACTATGGAATTTTGCATTTGCTGAAAAAATATTACGCTTATCTCTTTTTTTCTCTTTCTCTCTTCTTTTTTTTTCGCGAGTCGCGTCGCGCTATTTTGCACGTTTTGGCGTCGCACGGTTCGTCCGAAAAATCACATTTGCTACGAACATAACCGAGTCTCCATTAACGAGGGAAACATCTCCGCTCCCATACGCGTATCGTATATCTCTTTGTACACCGGAACATCAATTCGAACCGGCGAGAACTCTGCACCATTTTTTCCAGCCAGTGTGTGCGGGTAAAGCGATTGAACATCGCGAAATATTTTTTTCGCTATGCCGGAGAGAGGGCGAGCACCGAGCACAGAAGGATGCAAAGAGAAGGTGGTGCGGAGTATGCCAGCAAGAAGAGGAGGAAGAGGAAGAGGAGGACGAGGTGGAGGAGGATGCGGAAAAGGAGGAGGAGGGGGCGAACGATAGAAGTTCTACTCTCCTCGCGCAGCGGTGTCGAGTATCCGTAATTCGAGATTCCGTGCAAGCCAATTTGGCGCGCGTGCGAGAGAGAGAGAGAGAGAGAGAGAGAGAGAGAGAACCGGTGGAAAAATAATACACCGCCTACCAGCACACGGAATATCGGCGGTGAGCGTGCGGAGGCGAATTTTAACGGTCAACGCGAAACACGTGGGCAGGCCATGTCGGTGAATATCATGTTTCGGCCGTTGGAGAAGATCCTATCCCTTCGTGGGCCCTAAGACGCCCGGATAGCCGCGCGCTTGGCGTTTTTGTTGGAAAAACAGTGCGGCTGACATATCGGTCTCCCCGTAGCCGCTTGACGGCCAAGATCTTTGCCCCCCAAGTATTTAGCCAGACAAGACGATACATATCGACACCTTGTGACAACCGATAGCCTCCCTTCCGTGTGCTCGAGCGCTGGGAGCACAGCCGCTTTGTAGGACGGTGCGCTTTTGGTGGATCGCGATGTATAAATCGCGCAGATTTCTCGGTGCAGATCAAATTTGACTTTGTTGCGTTCGATGGAAATAAATTATTCATCAACCAAAACGCGTTCCGGCGGCATTCGCATATCGCTCTGTCGTAGGTGGCTGGTTCACCGTCGAGAGGAGCATTGAAAATTGAACTGAACTGTTTGACTGACGCGATAAATTAAATTGCAAACGAATTGGAAATTGGTCACCGATATATAAAATCCCGGACGGGCTTTTGAATTCCAGCGTTGACTCTCGACATGTCGCAATGTACCAACTAAAAGAACACTCCGCGCGTGCAGTCTCTCGAAAGTATGTCTGAATAAATTACGCCGCGTGCACGTGTTGCCTTTTTGCATGTGCGAACGTAAGTTCCCTCCCGAACAACAGAAAAATTTCCCGAGGCATGCGCTTCGTTAATCAAGCGCGGCCGACTGACTTAGCTCCGGCGCTCGGCGAGACATATTTTTGTAACGGCCCTCTATATTACGATTCGTTAAGCCAGCGTCTGCATTAACCAAGCTAATCCCTTAATTACGTTCCTCTTATTTCTCCACCGCTCCTTCTCCGCCCTTCCGGGCGGCGACTCTCACGCTTCCTACATCATCCTTCACTTGCTAATTAAAGAATTTGATGAAGTCCCGCGCGCGCGTACGCGGAAAAACACGGCGCGGCCTACGCACTACGGCCGCGCGAAAACGTGACTTTCGCACGCGCAAACACACAGCCCGATGTAAGTTGCAACGTAACGTTGCCGCAAAGTCGCCGCATAATTCAGCGTGCCTGCGAGTATTCAATTAGCGTAATCAGCGGATAAAACTGTCGGTCACGAGAGAGCTCTATTTCGCACGTATAATAATCGCGGATACGTTGCGGTACGCTAAACACGCGAGATAACTCCGTGCACGAATAAGGCTAAATTCTAATGAGTTTCATATTTGATGTCTGTAACGCGTCCGTCTTGGTTGTCATTAACTAAATCCCTTTACGATGTGGGGCGAGTCATCGTGATAACACTAGATTCCTACTATTTTTTTTTAACTTTGATGGTGTCTTAGCCTTTCCCGATGATATTTGCGGCTATTTGACACTACCCTCTTTCTTCCTATTCTTCCTATTTTCTTCAAATATTAATATATAATCAGCGCCGTGTCACACGTTAGCTCACTACACAATCCAGAAAGACGTAATTCCTACTATATTACCATAAGTTAGTTACGTTCACTCAGTCCCGCGGATGATCTTACTTTGGATAAATCGAAGACCATGCCTTCCTCAACCTCGAAAGGGCGACGATCTTGCTCTTGAATTCGAATGTCGTGAATATGTGACAATCACACGATAAATTTGTGCCGCCGCGAACGCACCAAGAACTATCGGCTACAATTGAACATGATCCCATGAAAAACAAGTAGTTAGATTCGAATGTGGGTAGTCGAACATTTGTGGTCGATCTATCGATCTATCGATTCGCGACGTAGCCGCGGGACTGAGTGTCCAGAGGGCGCTTTTGTGAGAGCGTACGCGACATCGTTTATGTCATTGCGCGCCTCTCTCAGCATATGTTATAAGCTACACGGCCATCTTCGAGCCTTTTGCGCCGAGCAGCTGTCATTAACACTTCGATCGACATTGCTCCGTGTTTTACGTTTTTTGTCCGCCGAAACTGCGAGTCTCGCGCGCAAACAAGTGTCGAGAGTGCCGAAATAGCGATGTGCGATCGTCAGGACGTATCGTAAGTACGTTTTCAGTGAGTGATCTCCTTTTTCCGTATATGCAACTGACGTTTCCGGCATTACTTACCATTATCAATCCACTTGTTATCAATTCATTCGAATACTAATAGAATCTATAAGCGACTGTCGGATTTATTAATCGGGAGTTAGAAATGCGGCGGTAATCGGAGTATGTACATCTGTTCTCGCGACGCGTCGGGCCATATTGCCAAATGCGTGCATTCGTACGCGCGTTTCGCGCGTCGCGTCGCCTCGCGTCGCTCGGAAACAGCCGCATGCCGCGGAGAGGAGAGCGCCGCCGATTTTCACCGGCAGGGTTTTATCTGATTAAACCAGCGTAGAAACATGGGGTTATACGTGTAAGCTTCCCGAGGCCCGTCTATGGGGAGAGGCCGAACAAATGAATAATGAAAATAAAACCCTGGTGATGCTATCGGTAAGCACCACGGGATTACGTACGCATCAGCGCGCCCGCGATGAACTTATATTATGGAACCCTCCCCTCGTACAAGCTGCGCTAACATATACGCGTTAATGTGCATGCGTGCGTGCGTGCGTGCGTGCGCGAGACCGCAAGAAAAGCAAGCGGCTTTTTCGCGCGTAAGAGTTCGACAAGTTCCTCTCACGTCAGCCGGGACGAGGATTTAAATGGCAAATCAGCCGCGACGGTACTATTACACGCGTAACGCGGTAATTCGCTACCGCGGAATGAGATGTCTATTGGGTGGTGTTTTCTTTGAGTAATTTCGAATTTTTCAGATAAAACGAAACGATCACACTCTTCTATCGTCATAATTTTACGAAACAATGCTTGCATATTTTTGAGATCTATGATCTTTTACCATTCTTTGAGTACATTGTTTCGTAAAATTATAACAACATGAAAATGTAATCGTTTTACATGAGAAATTCCAGATTACTTCTTACGCAACTCAATACAAATGCGTCGTCGCGTGCAATTTTATCAGGGCTTGTTGCAAAATTTACTCCGACGATATCAGAAAACTTATTATTAATAATTATAGCAATAATAAAAGATGATCAGTCGCTTTGGGCGGTTCTTGTCAGATTAGCAATGTAAGACGAGACATGAAAAGTGGAGCAAAGCGCGAGGATCTCGCCGTCTTACCGTTCGCAGGGCGCGCATTCAACGATTCGATCGTTCTCGCGATTGTCACGCGTATATC